TATATGAATGGAGTTGGGGCTCACTTTTAATTCTAGCCCTGCTATAAGAATGTCTAGTTCTTATGACATGGCCCTGCTTGATGCTCACCCTCATGAAGAGATCACTAAAGATATGGGTGCTACAGCAAAGTGTGGATAAGAGACTAGATCAGTGGTTCTCAACCTTCCTAATGCCGCAACCTCAGGTTGAGGTGAGCCCCAACTATTAAGTTATTTTTGTTGCTACTCCATCACTGTCATTTTGCTACTGTTATGAATCGGGTGATGCCTGTGAAAGGGTTGTTCGACCCCCAAAGGGTCGGGACCCACAGGTTGAGAACTGCTGGACTAGATGGTAACATGGTGCCTGGCTGTCAGAAAGAGTTTCAACTTGGGTCTTAAAGTTTTGTATTCAAACAAACAGCCATTTAAGTGAGGTGTCGATTAAATCCACATGGAAGAAGCACACCAGCCTGTGTGATCCAAGGATTGTAAAGAATAAAATCCAAATATGAAGGCAGAAACAGTATCAGACCTTACATTTTTAACACTATGTTTGCAGAAGGCTCTGGATGACAGTGGTAGCCCAGAATCTATTTGCGGGTTCCACATATGGGTTAAACATCAGGTTATCCCTTCGGACCATACACCAGGAATGTGTATAGCCTTGCAGTCATGCAGAGTGCAGTGGAAAGTAGACTACTGCTGTTACAATTAGGCAAATAAATAAATAACACTTTATCATAGGATTTCCCCTTTAAAACATTTAAATTTTTCTCTAGTTCTTAATATTTTCTGCTTTCTTTTTAGATTGAGGTTTTTCTCTGTTTTAGGTTGGTATTTCTATTGTTGTTGGTTTTGTATGTTTTTCTGTATATGAAATCCAGTATAGGAAAAGCTATAGAGACAGTGACTGCATTAATGGATTCTTGTGAGAGTATGGCCGGGGAGGTTGTGGGGAAATGATTGCTAGTTACAATGAGTACAAGAAAGAAGAAAATATCTAAAATTGATTGTACAACTCTTGTTAACATGATTGAACTATTGAATTGTATGAGATGTGAATTACATGCCAATAAAAATTTTTTAGAAGAAAGGTAGAGTTAGAAAACCAAAATTGAAAAGCACATTCAGCATTTTTCAAGGTCAAAAAACTAAAGGAAAAGGTCAGTATGGAAGAATTATATGGACAAAATACTTAATGGTGCTAGAAGTATCAAAAGAAGATGGGATATACATAGTTAATGAACTCAAAAAATCGGTCAAAAGCCAACCATTTTAGGAGGTGTAGTATATGATCCAGCACTGATGCTACAGGAAGAAAATGTCCTCGCTGCGCTGAAAGCATTAGTGAAAAAAGAACCCAATTCACTGCCATTGCGTCATTTATGACTCATAAGAACCCTATATAGAATTGATAATGCTGTACATCCTCATGAGAGAAAACAACCTTATCTTTCTCCCACTGGTGAAAAGCAAGGTTCCAGGAGTTGATGAAATACCAATTGAGATGTTTCAACAAACAAAGGCAATCCTGTAAATACATAGCCAGCTGACTAGAACAGACCCATATTTGCATGCATGCCAAACAAAGGTGATTCAATTTCAAAATGACCAAACAGTATTTTTGATATACAAGTAACATTTTGCTTAAGAGTATTAAAAAATGGTTTCAGTACATCAACAGACAACTGCTAGGAATTCAGAAGAGAGATGGAAGGAGACATATCATTGTTGTCATGTGGAATCTTGGCTGAAAGCAGAGAATACCAGATGTGTTTATATTGTCTTATATTGACTATGATCCATTATGTGAACTATAAGAAATTATAGATAACATTTAAAAAAAAAAGGAATTCTTGAACCTCATTATGCTCATGCAGAACCTTTACCAAGAGGCAGTAATTTGAACAGAAAAGGTATATGTATATATATATATATATATTCTTATATATGTGTTCTTATATATTATTATGTATTCAACATATATATTGCATGGCTTAAAATCAGAAAAGTGTGTCAGGATTGTATCATTTCGCCATACTTCTATAATAAATATGCTGAGTAAATAATTGGAGATGCTGGACCATAGGAAGAAGAACCAGCATCAGGATTGGAAGCAGACTCAACAATAACCAATGACATGCAATTGACACAAAGGAAGTGAACTGAAGGCACTTACTAGTAAATATAAAAAATTTCAATTAGGATTAAACTTGAGTATTAAAAACAAAACAAACAAAAAAATAGTAACTTTTTACAACTGTCCCAACCAGCAATGCCATGATAGAGAAAAACAATGGAAGTTGTAGGGTATTTCCTTTGATCCACAATCAGTGCCCACCAAGCACCAGCCAAGAAGTCAAATGCTATATTGCATTGACAAATCTGCTGCGAAAGACTTCTTTAAAAGTTTTTAAAAACCAAGTCGGCTCCTTGAATATGTCTGACCCAAACCATAGTATTTTCAATTGCTCCATGTGCATGTGAAAGCTGCACAGTGAGTGAGACGGAAAAATTGGTGCTGAGTTTGGCATATGCAATAAGCCATCAAAATAAAGACCAGTTCTCCTCTTCAGCAAGGCAGCCTCGAAGCAGCTGTAGAGTTGCAGATCTTTGGGAAGGACTCAAATGGGCAAGAACTTTCTTCTCACTGTGGAGCCCTATGACACCACCAAGAACTTCAAACTAAAATGCAGGAAATGCAAGGAAAGCATCGCACCCCGTAAACCCTTCACAGTGGTGCCTGAGGTTTCTAGTAAACAGCTAGGAGATGGCCACACTCTCTCTCATACTACAACATCCAGAGAGAATTCATCCTGTGCCTGATGCTCCATCTGTGTAGTGACATCACCCAGTCTTCCCTGCACCAGCTAATCTAGAAGTACAAGTGCAACAAGATGATCTACTGCAAGTATACACTCATCTTCACCTGTGTTCAGGTAACTGCAACATGAAGTGTGGCCACACCAACAACCTGCCTCCAAGAAGGTCAAATAGGGGCCCCTTTCTGCTGGCTTCCCTGCCAACTGCTGGTGGGTTTCTTGTGAGCCCCATGAGCCTGGGCCCTCATTCACGTCTCACTTCCATTAAACTGAAGCAGTTAAAAAAATTTTTTTTAAGAATGACCAATTCTGTGATGGAAGAAAAACTTCCTTTAGATAGGAATACAGCATAATTCACTCACTCACTTTTAATGTATTACCAGGAGGGGTCAGTGCTTGGAGAAGATATACTTACTAAAGCAGGGGTGAGCAAAAAGAGAAAGACCTTGAATTAGATGGACTGACGTTGTGACTGCAAAAATTGGCTCAAAATTAGCAATGATTATGAGGCTAGCTGAGGACTGAGCTGGTTTATTCTGTTAGACATCAGAGTGTTAAGAGTTGGAACCAACTAGGCAGCATCTAATCACCTCCATGTCTAATGGAAATCTCAGTGCAGAATCAGCTCCAAAGGTAAGATGTTTTTGTAGATTCTACATTTAAATGTTTATTAACTAGGATCAAAACTAAGCTCTGAGCAACAGCAAAGATACCCAAGTCTAAATTTCAGAGTTACACTGACTGCAGAGAACTGCGTGGAAACTGGTTATTCCATGGTGACTTCCATTTACAAACGTCTCCTACATTTTACTTACCACCGACGATTGTGCAGCACCTACTATTGAGAAGTGTAAAAAAGACACAGTCAAAACTCACATTGTGAGAACAAATGATTAGAAATAATTGGAAAGCATTTGATTTTAAATGTGAAAACAGCATAAAAACGTCTAGTGCCATTTTGAAAGTTATGGAATCTGTATTGATCATTGGTAAAGTAAGCTTGAGGAAGATGCCCTGGAGCTATGATGCCATGCTTTCAGTACCCCACTGTGACTTGTAAAGATAGACCAATGTTTAACGTCATCACTCTCTTTACATGAACTGAATTCATTGATATCCAAAGGTGAGTATGACGCTCCCTGGCAGAGGTTTGCTAGTTTCTCAGTAAGCTTCTGAGCCTCTATTTCTGTCTTTTTTTCTTTCTTTTTTCAATAGTCTTAGTGACATGTGATTAAAAATCAAGACATTTAATAGTTCAATCGTATTAAGAAGAGTTTACAACCATCACCAAAATTAATATCAGGACATTTTCTTAACTCTCATACTCATTGTTGTTAGCTCTTCATCTTCCTTCAATTTCCCCTGCCTTGCACCCAGATAGTTATTAATCTAATTGCTGTGATTATAGATTTATGTATCCTAGATTTCATATACAAAAAGTGATACAAAACACAAAACAAAATGGCACAATACATGGCAAAACAAAGCAGAGGAAAACCTCAGTGGAAAAGAAAATATTAAAAACAATTTAACCTTAATGCCATACAAATAGAAATTATTATATTGATAAATTAAAAATCTTTGATAGTCTATTTCTTTTAGTAATGTTGTTAACTTGCTGATATGTATCAACTATGTATTTTTCTGTTTATTGTGTTTAAAACATTTAATGATTAAACCATATTAGATTTGTAATTTTGCTAGATATTTTTAGGATTAGACTAAATGTAAATATTTTGAAAAAATGGATTTAAGAGATACATTTTAAAAAATGAAACATTTTAAAAATGAGCTAAAAGGGAGCTCAAACAATAAGGCATTCCATTTTAACCTAACTACGTCTGCCATAGTCAACTTTACACTTGCTCTCTGTCTCATGGCAAGACTGTTCACATCCCTGGTCTATGGTCAGAGGGGATTTCCCAGAGGCTTACTCCATATGTAGACCCTGCAAATGGATTTTGGGATTTCAATGTCATTCGTAGTCTTCTGCAAACCCAAGTGTTCATAATTTAAACTCTGATACCATTCCTTCCTTAGATTTGGATTTCAATATTTATTCAAAACCCTTGGTTCAGAGTGGGTTGGAAAGTGGGAACCGATTACAAGGAACTATATGTGACCTCCTCCCTGGGGGATGGACAACCGAAAAGTGGGTGAAGGGAGACGTCGGACAGGGCAAGATATGACAAAATACCAATTTATAAATTATCAAGGGTTCGTGAGGGAGGGGGGGAGCTGGAAGGGAGCGGAAAAATGAGGACCTGATGTCAGGGGCTTCAGTGGAGAGCAAATGTTTTGAGAATGATGAGGGCAATGAATGTACAAATGCGCTTTACACAATTGATGTGTGTATGGAATGTGATAAGAGTTGTATGAGCCCCTAATAAAATGATTTAAAAAATTTTAAAAACAAAAAACCCTTGGCTCTCACTGGTAGGTGTGTTTCCTCCATGTGGACTTAGATGATGCCTCACTTAGATGGCTGCTTGTTTGAAAGAAAAAAAAAAGCCTTTAAGACCTCATTTCTTCATCACACTTTACTGTAGCACCCACATCTTCAGTAATCTTTTCATGAGGGTGGGTATTGAGTGAACCTGTTTCTTAAACTGGAAACAAACAAGTCCCGTTACAATTTCTGAGGTTTACAGTAGATCCTGTAAAGAAGATTCAAGGAGATGCTTGGATCACATTTTGCAGTTTCTGTCACAACAGAAACGTAGTAAATGAAAGCTATTCCTCTTACTGAGTAGTGTTTTGTTGAGGATGTAGACTGCCTCAGCCAGCTAGTGACTTTGAGCAAATGACAAGACCAACTCTTTGGCCTCCACTTAACCATAAACTAGAGAATCACTAAGCTCCTTTCCAGATAAAAATGATAGGCATACGAACAAGGCAGAGAACTACCTTCATCATTGTCCTAGATCTTGTGTCTCTGGGGGTATGTGAAGAAGTGAACTTACATGAGCGAATGATGCACAAAAAAGGCTGATTTGCCAGCTGTTATGGTTTTCTGGGGAATGGTACCATGGACCATTTGAAGGTACTGAGAAACTCAGGGCAAGAATGAAAGGGGAAAAGAAGCCAAACTTTCCTCAAGACATCAGAAGGAAAACTGTGAGATTTCTCTGTGAAGAAAGGAGCAAATGGGTTTTTAAACAGGTAAATAACTGTAATAACTAGCAGCATCATGTGATAGAAGGATAGACATGACTCATCACCACCCCTATATACTCATTCTCTGCTTTTTTTATTAGGACACTTCCTGGATTACAGGATGTGATTACCTCTTCCAATTGAAGCGGATTGTTGCCACTACAGAAAGGACCATTATTGTCTGGGATTATAAAGCTCAAGGGAACAGTCAGGTACTGTGCCAAGAGAAATATTCAAAGAAATGAAATACTTTCAAAAACCGGTAGGATTTGAGCAATTCACTTTTTAATTTGCACATCACCTTTTCATATATAAAATTAAAAGATTTAACTTAGTGAACCTTAATTTACCAACTAAGTTCAAATCAGATCAAGTTCAGCACTGATGTTGTACACATCTAATTGAAAATGAAGACCTTTTCAATTTAGTGCATGGTGTATTAATAGCTTTCTTTCTTTCTTTCTTTTTTTTAAGGAAAGAGGCCAATTCTTTCTCCCTTTTATACCCTTCTCTGATTCCATATAATATGTATCTGAAATGTTCATGGGATCAGGTTCAAAGCCTTCTCTCCAGCCCACTTTTATTTCCTCAAAAAAGAATCTTCAAATCAACTGCTTAATTCTGCTTAAAAGGGGTGGGTACTAGTGTGGATTCCTTTCATGACTTGCATAGTCCAAGTCTTTATGAACGTCTAAAGCCTTAAACTCTAATGACTGTAATCTTCCTTCCAGCTCTCTTTCACGCTTGCTTTTCAGTTCCACAGGAACTTCCAGTTCCGTGAAACCACATCTTCCAACCATCACTCGTTACGTTTTCTCTCATGCACCATCCTTTGTGGAATAGCTCAGATGAGGTTATCTTCACCCCCCATTCTCTTAACTCTCCGTATTTCCAAACTCTAGTCCTATGTAGAGGCTATACTCCTTCTGTTATTCACCACAGTCAATCAGTGTTAGGGAAACACACAAAACAACACAATGTGGCATCAGGTCCCACACACTGTAAACACCACTAAGTTCTCAGTGCTTTCTGCCCATTTTCTGTCCTTGTCAGGCTGCTTTCTGAGTCCTCTGGAGTATTCCAAATCTTCATCTCCCTTCTCGGGCCCTCTCTCTCTGCAAATGGCTTTGTTTCTATTTTCCTGAGAAAATTGTTCAATACACTTGTGTTCAGTTAAGTTCTAATTCTTCTATATGTAAATTTAACTAGAAACACACTTCTGTATTTTAAAAAACACTTTTATTGGCATATAACTCACATATCATACAATTCAATCTTATTAATAAAAGTTACATATTCATCACCACAATCAATTTTAGAAAATTTTCTTCTTTCTTATACTCATTATTATTACCTCTCAATCTCCCCTGCCATGCTTCAAGAGACCATGAATCCAGTTGCTGTCTCTATAGATTGACGTATCATGGATTTTATATGCAGAAAAACATATGAAAACAAAACAACAGAAAATTAACAGCAACAAAGTAAAACAGGGAAAAACCTCAATCAAAAAGAAATGAAAAATATTAAAAAGGAGAGCATATTTTAAATAGGTCAAATGGGAGACAAAATAATAAGGTGTTAAATCCACTCTCCAATGCACCCTGCATGATAGCAGGGCTACTGATATCCCTGGTCAAAAAACAGAGAGAATTTGCCGGAGGTTTAATCCACTACACATTTTTAAAAAACTGAAACAACTATAAAATGGGTCCAAAGGGATATCAAATGATAAGATATTACATTTTAATCTAACTACAACTGCCATAATCAACTTTACAATGATTTGTGTCTGCTAACAAGGTTTTTTCGTTCTTATGGCATGGCCCTGCTTGATGCTCACCCTCATGAACAAATTACTTAAGAGAAGACATGGGTACTATAGCCAAGTGTAGATAAGAAACTAGAGGGTCCCCAGCTGTCAGAAAGAATAGCATCTGGGCCTGAAGCGATGGTGAGAGTGGCGATACCAGGAGGGTGTGTTGGAAAGGGTGAACCGATTTCAGGGATCTACATATAACCTCCTCCCTGGGGGGAGAGACAACAGAAAAGTGGGTGAAGGGAGACGTCAGACAGTGTAAGACATGACAAAATAATAATTTATAAATTATCAAGGGTTCATAGGCGGGGGGTGGGGTGGGGGGGGGACGGGGAAGGAGGGGGAAAAGTAAGGAGCTGATGCCAGGGGCTTAGTTGGAGAGCAAATGTTTTGAGAATGATGAGGGCAATGAATGTACAAATGTGCTTTACATGACTGATGTACATATGGATTGTGATAATAGTTGTATGATCCCCCAATAAAATGATTTAAAAAAATAGCATCTGGGGTCTTAAAGACTCGCCTTAAAACAGGCAACCATCTAACTGAAGCATCAACTAAGTACATGGAAGAAGCACACTATCCCGTGTGATCCAAGGATTGTAAAATCTATAGTCCAAATCCGAAGGAGGGAATGTCATCAGAATTTAAATGGTGCACACCTGGTTTGCCAGAAGGCTATGGAAGCCCAAAATCCATTTGCAGGGTCTCCCCTCCCCCATGGATTAAGCTTCCAGTAAATCCTCTCGGACTGTAGTTATGGGGTGTGAATAGCCTTATCTACTATCTTTCTTTCTTCCTTCTTCCTCTCCTTTCTTCCCCTGAAAATGAAAGATCCTTATATGTGACCCCACCTTTTCTGCCTCCCAGTGGAACATGACGCCATAGCCTTCCCTCTCTATTTTTTGGCATTAACCTCTTCTCCTAGATCCTTCCTTCTCAGCCTCTTTCCCATCTCACTCACCTAATTCAGAGTCTAAAGGAAAGATCACCTCTTCATTGTGGCCTTTTCTGACTGTAGAATCTAAAACCGCATCTGTGCATAACTCTAGTTATTTTCTCAAGCACATGTCCCATTATTTCATTTTTTATTAAAATTTGAACGGTAGTGTATTAAACAGTCAGTAAAGGAAAGTATTTAGAATGGTATCAGCACAAAGTCAAGAAATTTGTTTTGTTCAACATATCTAAAACTGACTTCTTTTTTAACTTCAATCATTCCCTTCTCCCCAAATGGTTTCTCTTCCACTGTATTAGGTAACTGGATCACAATCTACTCAATAGATCAGGAAATGCCAAAAATGCAGGTCATATCTTGATTTTGCTTCTTCTCATTACTATATACACTTCTGATTAGTATTCACCAACCTCCCGAGCATGAGTTCATCATATCCCTCGGTGTTCTCTTATGGAGGTACCTTGCCTTCTAGCAGGAGTCTCGAAGATGCAGTGATTATGCATTGGGCTGCGAACCAGTTGGTCATCAATTTCAAACCTGCCAGCTGCTCTACGGGAGAAAGTCGAGGCTATCCATTACCATAAAGAGTTATAGTCTTGGAAACCCACAGAGGCAGTTGAACCTGTCTTATAAGGTCACTGTGAGGTACAATCAACTCAACAGAGTTTGGTTGCTTTTTGCCTTTAAGCAATCTTCATCACTGCCTTCCTCCAATGCCACAATTCCTGAATTTACTTTAAGGCTTCTTTTGAGGACATTGTTCACAGTGTTTCAATTTCTTCTTTATGACGACCTGGTAAATACTTTCTCTTGTCTGAGCTACCTTCTTGTTTATCCTTAAATACATCTTCTGCAAATCACAGAACTTATGATATATATTTTTCCCTCTGTTGGTAGTTCATAAAAAATAAACACTCATTCAACTTTCATGCACTAAACCCATGGCCTTTATGCATTCCTTATTTTGTATGATTTCCCCATTACTTTTCTTTATTCAAATTTCTAGCACTACTGTTTTTTAAGTTTTTGTCTTCTTTTATATTACGCACATACTAAAAGCTATATGCCTACTTTGAGATAGGTTTTGGTTATTATTTGTATTAAGTTGATTTCATCATATGGGAACCCCGTGTGTGTCGAGTAGAACTTGACTTCATCAGGTGCTCAGAGGTGTGCCCTTTTGGGAGCAGGTGTCCAGAGCTATCTTCTGAGAGACTTCTGCATGAGTTCAAATGAACCCCTTTACATATCGATGTTTAAATGCCACTGAGATACAGTGTGCTTTTGCTAAGTGGCACCAAGTCAGTTCCAATACATAGGGGCCATGTGTGTAAGAGTACAAAACACTGCACAATCATGTACATCCTTAAAATTGTCGTTTCAGTCCCTTGTTGCAGCCACCAACTAATCCATCTTGTGGAGCATTTTCCTCTTTTTTGAAAACTCCTACATCAGGAATGGCCCCTCCTGATATGTCCAAAGTATTTGAGGTGAAGTTTCACTCTCCTTACCTTTATGGAATATTCTGACTGTATTTCTTATAACACAAGAGTTCTTTGTTCTTCTAACAAATGTTTTCAGGTTTGTGGGTGTTGTTGTTTTGTGGGGTTTTTGCCAACAACATTATTCAAATACATCAATTCTTCTCCAATATTCCTATTCATTCTCCAACTTTCACTTGCATATGATGTGATTGAAAAGACCATGGTTTGGGTCAGGCACAACTTAGTCCTCAAAATGACATCCTTGCTCTTAAGCACTTTAAAAAGGTCTTATTCAGCAGATCTGTCTAATGCATTATGCTGTTGATTTCTTGACTACTACTTTCTTGACCCTTGATTCAAGTAAAATGAAGACTTGACAATGTCATTATTTTCTTGACTCTCCATGATATTGCCTATTGGTCTATTTGTGAGGATTTGGGTTTACACAGGATTGTAATCCATTCTGTGATCTGCAGTATGATTTTTATCAGCAAGTGCTTCAAGTCCAAGTGCTTGACTTCCAGCAAGCAAGCATACCACAGGTTATTCATGAGCCTTTCTCCAATCCAGTCTTCCTTGGTCATTGTGAGGCAATTGAAAGTATCATGACTTTGGCGAGGTACACCCTAGTCTTCAAAGTAAGGTCCTTGCTCTTCAACACTTTGAGGAGTTCTTGTGCAGCAAATCTGACCAGTGCAATAAGTCATTGCCTTTGGGAACATTGATTGTGGGCCCCCCAAAATGAAATCTCTGACAAATTAGATCTTTGTTCTGTTTATCATGCTGTTGTCTGTTGGTTTAATTGTGAGGATTTTTGTTTTCTTTACATTGATTTTGCTATCCGGACTGAAGGTGGTAGTGTTTGATAATCATTGACAAGGGCTTCAAGTTCTCTTTGCTATCAACAAGCAAACTTAGGTCATCTGCATATCGCAGGTTGCTAATGTACCTCTTTCCAATCCTGATGTCTCATTCTTATTCATATAGTACAGCTTCTCAGATAACTTGCTGGGCAAACAGACTAAGCAAGCATGGGGAAAGGATACAATGCTAAAGCACACCTACCCTGATTTTAAAACTACAGGGTATTTCCTTATACTGTTCAAAGGACTGCTTCTTGTTTCAGGGATAGGCTCCACATTAGCTCAATGCACTGTTCTGGAATTCCTATTCTTCTCAATATGATCCATAGGTTATTATGGTTCACCTAATTCAATACCTTTGCATAGTCAATAAAACACAAGTATATATCACTTTGGCATTCTCTTGTTTGAGCCAAGCTTCAACTTATATGAGCAGTTATATCCCTTAGTCTACATCCATTTCTATATCTGTCTTGAATTTCTGAAAACCATCTGTCAACATTCTGCTGTAGTTATTTTTGAATTATTTTTAGCAGAATTTTACTTGAGTGTGATATTAATGATGTTAAATAATTTCCACATTCTGTTGGGTCACTTACCTTTGGAATGGGCACCAACGTGGATCCTTTCCAGTGTTGACCAGGTAGCATCTTCCAGCTTTCTTGCTATAGATGAGTGAGTGCTTTTGGTGCTTCATTAGATTGTTGAAATTTTTCAATTGGTATTTTAAAAATTCCTACAACCTTGTTTTTTGCTACTACCTTCAGTGCACATTTGAGTTCAAATGATAGGGACAGTATTTACTAAACAAAGTAACAACTCAATGAAAATATTTTTCTCTTTCCAGGAGAACTATTTCGTTATAAAGCCCATGGATCACTGCCTCCTCTGTGTTTGCGTTGTGCCGTTGCCAGACCAGGTCTGCCGAGATGACATCCTCTTGGGAGATGATGGTGGCTTTGTGACTAGATTCACAGTAAATAGTGATGACTTTGGACTAAAGCAGGCAAAATCCAAAAAAAAGTTTCAAAATCAGGTCTTAGATTCAAAGAATTTTAAAAGGTAAGCACATCATATATGTCCTTCAGTTATTTTAATAGTATGGGGTATGTGACTATTTACTAGAATGTAAGTATTTTAAAATAATCCCCATGCAAAAGAAGTGTACACAGAATTCAAAGAAAAGTTTAATATATATATAGATGTTAAAAATGTTTGCACATCAAACCAAGACCCTACTGTTGTTGATTCCAACTCATAATGACCCCATAGGACAGAGTGGAAGAGTTACATAGGGTTTCTGAGACCCTTAATGGGAGCAAATGAAATTATAATATTTTTTAAGTAACAAATTAAGATAACATTTTATAACAAATATAACAGACAATGGGTTAATATACTTCAATAGGTGTTGTAGTCCAAATAACAATTCATCTAGAGAACAAAAGGCAAAGACCATAAGTAGATGATTCACATATATGCGCACACAACACAAATGGTCAATAAACATTTCAAAATGCTCATCAGACAAAAATACTAAAAAGAAATATCTGGAGATTAGGCAGCTGAGATTGGTTTTCTACATTCTCTTTATAATCACTCTATCTTTGAAGTTTTAACAAATAAGAGTGTATTACTTTTATTAGCAGAAAAACAGATATTTCCATCGCAGTATCTTCTTCCTCTAGGCCACACTGGCTTCAGTAATGGGCTCAGGCACAGGAACCACTGTGGGGATAGCACAAGACCAGGCATTGTTTCATTCTGTGTGCATTGGGTTGCTTTAGATTGGAACCTACTAGGTGGTACCTAACGAAAATAACAGTAATGAAAGTAAGTTAAAGTGAAATATGTTTTCATCCATAAAAATAGGAGAAAATAAAAATTGATGGTGTTCTGATAAGAAAGTTATAATTCATTGTTGATGGAAGTGTGACTTGGATCAATATTTAAGGAAAATAATATGGGAACACACATTACATGTCTTAATAAATTTCCTATTACAGTTGCACTAGGAAATGATAGATTTTGTGTCAACTTGGCTGGGCCAATATTCTCAGTGGTTTTGTAGTTAAGACACAAACATTCCATGTAATGTGATCTAACACAATGTAATCACTTCCGTATGAACCATCAGTTGTAAGAAGATTATTACAGTATGCTACACCCTTATTCAGATCACAGCCCTGATCATTCAAGTGAAATACAATTTTATCAGGGTTGTAGCCTGATTCAATATAAATGAATGCTATGGAAAAGCTTGCTTGCATTTTCGGAATTGTTTCTCAAAGATGATTGGTTGTATGGTCACTGATAACTCTACCTCCATTCGCTCTACCTGAACTAGTAAAGAGAGTGCTGTTAATCCATGTGTAAACTGGCGATGATAATTCACAAAGTATCACCACCAACATATGATGTATTTTGTAAGAAGCAAGGCTCTGGATGATCATATGTTTGATTTTTTTCTGCAGTTTTGTCAGGATAAGTATAGGGAAGCTGGTTGGATGTACTAGTTGCAATAGACAAAGTGGTAAAGGGAAAAAGATGAACTCAGGTGTTTGGAGTACCAGCTCAAGCACTGTAAAAAAACCCTCAAAGTTTCTACTTGTGTCTTGGAAGAAAATTTTATTTCTTTTAGTAACAGGGCTGATATTACCAAAAATGAAAACCCAGGGTCTAACTGTAAGAGTGAATGAGTTACAATGTCAGCTGAATTCCGAAAATCAAATGATGTCTGATGTGAAAGTTCAGGCACTGACTGGGAAGAAATGGAGTTCTAAAACTTTGGGTGGGGCCAACTGAACAGATGGTAAATAAGATGGGGACATTGGGTCACTAAACTCTACTTAATCCTTCAACAAACATCACCACTTCCACCTGAAGAGATGCCTGACTGCCCCCTTGCCTGCAAACCTATTATTGGTAAAACAATTGTGTCATTCATCCACATTTGAGGAGATTAACCCAACTGTACATGCTGACATGACACCTGGGACATTGTCTGGAGCACCAATTAAGGCAAATGTCTCAGAGGAAATTTCTGTTTTTCCGAGGAAACTCCCTCCCCACCCATTAGTGTTTCTAGACCAAATGGTGACCTAGGAAGAGGAACACTGGACTCAAAGAAACCTGGAGAATATGTGTGGGGATGGTTCCTAAGGCTGTGGAATAATGAGCCAAGGAACCTGAGGTTGGATCCGTTTGAGTTTATTGACATGGGCCCAACAAGGACAGTGTCTCCATTCATTGTTTTCGCTCAAGAGGTTTAGAAATGATCGGTAATGTTTATTTGCTTGGTTTTATTGAAGCATAGATTACATGATAGCCTACAATTGGTCATGCTGAAGTACCAGACCTTGGTATACTGGAAAATCAGGTTTCTAAAGGCTTAGGAAAATTGTCATATTAGAGTGGATTTATCAGAATAGACCGGAAGACCCATATTTTGAACATCCACAACTTTTACCACCACAACAAGGAACAAATTTGTGAAGGGAACCCCAGCATCTCTGAAGACAGCTGGGATTTTATTTTATGTAAATCAGAATTGGCAGTGGGAACTGCCCTAATTGAATGAAAACACTTAACTACAATGGGGCTGATTGGGCCTTTGATGGTAGGGGCCAAGTGACTGCACTCAGTTGTTGGGGACATGGTAGGTATGGTTGTCATACTTCTGTAGAGTCAGAGTAGTAATCACGATAGTCTGACATCTATGGATACATGGCACGTATGGACTTCAGCACTCCCTGGGAGTTAAATAGATAGGAAATCTACTAAATAGTTACTTGATCTGTTCAAGTGGAAGAATTCTAGGTCATGTCAGATGAACAGCAACCTAATTTACATTGTCAGAATAGTTGTATGAGCCCCAATAAAATGATTTTTAAAAATTGTCAGAATAGAGAGTCATAGTCTCTAAGTTTCCAGACTTGAATTGATTAACAAACCCGACACCACTTGAGGAAGGACATAATTACATCACCAAAAATTTATACTCTTAGTCTCTCCCACCTTAAAAGGGATCTAAGTTCCTTTAGATCACCCCCAAAGAGTGATCATTGGTGAAATAGAAATAACCAGATGTTTCATGGATCCTTAGGCACTGGATCTGAATTGACACTAATCTCAGGAGCTCAGAAATTATTTGAAGGCCCATCAGTCAGAGCAGGGTCAAAATATTCATGGTGTCTTGACTCAGCTTCATCTCACAATGGGTCCACCAATGCATCCCATCGCTATTTTCACAGTTTTAGGATTCATCATTGGAATAGATAAACTCAGCAAATGCAGAACCTCCAAATTGGGTCCCTGGCTTGTGAAATAAGGCCTATTATGGTAGGAAAAGTCAAGTGAATGTCATTAGAACTACCCCTAGCTAGAAATCTGAGAGAAATACTGCATTCCTGCAATTGCAGAGATTAGTGCCATAATCTAGGTTTTGAGGGATATAGGAGTTATGGTTCCCACACATTGTTGTTGTTAGATGCCCTTGAATCTATTCCAACTCACAGCAGCCCTGTGTACAACAAAAATAAACACTTCTCCATCCTGCACATCCTTGTGGTTGTTGCTATGTTTCAGTGCATTGTTGTGGCCCCCATGTCAGTTCATCTTGTGGAGGGGCTTTCTGTTTGTCACTGCCCCTTGGGGTTCTCCTGATAACATGTCCAAACTATGTAGGGCAAAATCTTCCCACCTTTCCTTCTAATGAGCATTCTGGCTGTGCTTCTTCCAAGACCGATTTGTTTATTCTCTGGCAGTCCAGGGCACTTTCAATATTTTGGCCAACACTACAGTTTGCATGTATTCATTCCTTTTCAGTTTCATTATTCCTTGTCATCTATCAGATGCACATGAGGCAACTGAAACTACTATGACTTGGATCAAGTGCACTTTCATCCTAAAAGTGACACCTTTACTCTTCGACGTGATAAAGGGATCTTGTGCAGCAGATTTCTCTGATGCAATCCATCATTTGCTTTCTTGACTGCTGCTTCATGAGAATATTAATTGTAGATGCAATTGAATTAAAATTTTCTGACAACTACAATCCTTTGTCCATTCACCACAGATCTTGATTTTCATCAGCAAGTGCTTCAGTTTCTCTTCCGTGACAGCAAGCAAGGTTGTATCATCTGCATATCTCAGGTTATTAATAAGCTTCCTTCCAATCCTGATGCCACATTCTTCATATTGTCCAGCTTCTCGGATTATTTTCTCATCATACAAATTGAATAAGTGTGGTGAAAGGATACAACCCTGATGCACAATCTTTCTGATTTTAAGCTTTAGTTTTGTTTGAAAGACTGCTTCTTGGCCCAAGTTCAGTTTCCACATGAGCACAATGAAGTGTTCTGGAGTTTCCATTCTTCCCAACATTTTTTAGGATGCACAAAATTGAATACCTTGTCATCATCAATAAAACACAAGTAAACATCTTTCTAGTATTCTCGGCTTTCATCAAAGATTCATTGGATATTAAAAATATCTCCCCTGTTAAGCCCTCTTCTAAATCTAGCTATTACTGTTACTGTTGTTTAATGATCATCACAAAATTTCACTTACCTGTGATATTAATGATATTGTTCAATACTTTTTGCATTCCTGTAGGCTACCTTTCTTTGGGTGGGCACAAATCTGGATCTCTTCTATTGGGTTGACTTTGCAGTTTCTTCTTAACACCAGTATATCTTCATTTGATTTTCCTATTTGGCTTGTGTCAAATAGCTGAGTTTAATGAGAATCTTGGACAATTGCAATGTATTATCATAAATTAAACCAGCTGTGACTCCAACTACAGCTGCTATTGTGGTTGTGGTTTCATTGCTTGAGGAAACTAACACTTCTCCTGGTACCTGGTGTGCAACTATTTATCTGGCCAATGTCTTTGTTGCTATACCACTTTCAAAGGGTCATTAAATGGGCAAGTACAACAATACACTCTCTCCATCCTACCTCAGAGTTATATCAGATCTGTATTACTGTGTCAACATTTAGTTGACAGGGACCTTGCTTTCCTTTCCTTTCCATGCTGGTCCATTACCTTAATGACAGTATATTGATTGGACCTAGTAAGAAGGTAGTACCCTGTTTCCCCGAAAATAAGACAGTGTCTTATATTAATTTTTGCTCCCAAAGATGTGCTAGGTCTTATTTTCAGGGGATGTCTTATTTTTCCATGAAGAAGAATATGGTACACTTCTTGTTTATTGTTTTATTAAAAGAGACCTCGCACTTCCTGTCTGCTCTGGCTGCACTGCGGCCAACAGTGAGCTGCGCAGCAGCACTCGCCGCTATGGTCCAGAGTCCAGAGTTACGGTAGCTTCAGGGGGGCTTATTTTCAGGGAGGTCTTATTTTCGAGGGGATGCCTTATATTTCAGCGAGAGGCAAAACTGTGAGTAGGTCTTATTTTCGGGGGATGTCTTACTTTCAGGGAAACACGGTATCAATGACTCCAGACTTACTGGTCAAACACCTGAGTGCTCCAAAAACAAAACCAAACTCACTGTCATTGAGTAAATTCCCACTTATTGCGACCCTGTAGCACAGAGAAGAACTGCCCTTGTAAGTTTCTGAGACTGTGGTTTTTTACAGTAGAAAGCCCGTCTTTCTCCTGAGAAATGGCTAGTGATCTTGAACTGCTGACTTTGTGATGGTTAGCCCAAAATGTAGCCACTATGCTACAAGGTGGGAAATGAATATGGAAAAAAGTCAGATACCTGACACTTCAGTTAAATTTTTATAAGTTCAATAGTGTGGGACATGTTGTGATATTCCTACTAGAGTGAAGGATGTTATTGCTATTGCTCCTTTCCACAAGGAAAAAGGAGGTATAACACCTCATGGGCATCTTCGGATTCGGGAGGCAGCATATCCTTCATTTGGTTATATTACAATGTCCTATTTATCAAGTAACTCAAAAAGCAACTAGTTTTCACTGGGGCCCAAAGCAAGAGGTTCAGACTGCTGTGCAAGTTGGTCTACCACATGGACCTTTTGATCTTCCTAATCCAACGGTGCTTGACGTGTCAGTGGCTGATAGAGATGCAGTTGGGAGTCTTTGGCAAACTCCTAATGACGAATCATAACACAGGCCCGTGAGATTTTGGAACAAATCCTTGCCATACTCTGCAGATAACTACTCCCTTTCTGAGAATCTGCTCTTGGTCTGTTGTTGGGCCTTAGGAGAGGCTGAATGTCTCACCGTGAGCCAAAAAGTCACCATGCTGTATGAGCTGCTTCACATAGAGTGGTTATTGTTTGACTGTGGTGAAATGGAATTGTTTAAAATGCCTTTTCTATCCATTTCTCTCTAACTCCCACCAAATGATTGCGAGGGACCGTGCAAATAATGTGTAGAGGACTATCACTCAGGGGTTGGTCAGTTTTGCCATCCTCTGGATATGAGAGCCATCTCAGAAGCTGGACAAGAGAGAATCCTTGGAACATCAAGAAAGACCAGTCACTAGTGGGTGCGTGTGCAAAATACCTGCATAAATTGGCAGTGGCGCCAGAAGCTGCAACACTGAGACCAGAGACGGTAATACTGTAAGGCACAGGTCCCAAACAAAGAGACCATGTGAGTAAGAAAGAGGCTAAGAACCACAGAAACATGCAATCTGTCAGCTGAGAAGACACAATCCTGTGGACCAGGGACTGTATCCTTAATTCTTTCTGGTCCTGGCTTTTGGTAAACTGCTAACTTCTTTAATGAACCCCCATCATCATGACTGTTGTCTGAGTTCTGTGTGGCCATTGCAACAGATTATGGGACAAGACAGAGCATGGGAGGAACAGTGTCAACATAAGGTAAACAAAGGAATGAGGCTGGATGCATGATTGACCTCTGCTTTTGGCTTGGGTCTTGGTATGGAGTTAGATTCTTCTTCTTCCGGGTGTAGCTAGAGGAGAACAGATGTGGCCCCTGTGCCGTTTTCTCACCGAGTTATAAAATTGGATATGCACGGCAGCCCTCCCTCATTACATGGAAGTGGTATAGACCAGCTGTGCTTGAGCAAGACCTGAAGTTACAAGGAAGTACATGAAAAGGTGACCCAAATGTCCGGTCTTCCTTCTCCCAGCCTGCACCTAGGGCCTCATGGAGTTCCTTATGGTCAGTTGACTGACAAAGGAGAAAACGCCTACTTATTCTACAGATTGTTCTGTATGACATGTCCACTCAAAAGTGGACAGCAGCAACAGTCCCTTTCTGGGACCTCTCTGGATGGTAGTGGTGAAGGGAAATCCTCTCTATGGACAGGACTTCAAGTGATACACTTGGTCATCAATTGGAAGTACATGGTGAGACAGGCTGCGGCCAATGGTTTGCCTGGATGATTGGAAAATTGCTGACAAGGAGGTGTGGGGAAGAGGTACATGTAGAGACCTTTCTGAATGAGGCAAAATAGTGAAGATAATTATGTGCCATGTGAATGCTCACCACAGGGTTAATTCTGCAGAGGAAAATTTTAACCATCAAGTGGATAGGATGACATGTTCAATAGAAGCAATGGACCCATAACTATGGTGGCAGGGATTGAGGCTATGCGTGGGTTCAGCAACATGGATTTCCACCACCAAGGCAGACTTGGATACTGAAACCACTGTGTGTCCACCGATCTATCAACAACAGAGATCAACCCTGGGTCCTCTATTTGGGATCATTTCTCAGGGAGATTAACCAGCATATTGGTGTTAGGTTGATTACATCAGACCACTCCTATAATGGAAAGGGAAGTGCTTGGACCTTAATGGAATAAACACTTACTCTAGATACAGATTTGCCTTTCATTCATACCGAGCTTCTCCCAAAACTATTGCCTGTAGACTTGCAGGATGCCTGCAAATGATTCACCTAGCATTGCCTTGGATTAAGGGACTCATTTCACAACAAACATGGTGTGGGAATGGACCCATCTTCATGGAATTCACTGGTCTTACCATGTTCCCAATCATCCTGAGGCAGTTGGCTTGATGGTACAATGGAATAGTCTTCTAAAGACACAGTCAGAACCTCCCCCGCCCCGCCAGGTGGCAATACCTTGCAGAATTGGGACAATGTTCTCCAGGAAGGTATATATACTTTACACCAGTGTCCAATGTACGGTGCTGTTTCTGCAGTGGCCCAAAACTGGGTGTTCACAATTTGAGCTCTGATTTCCTTTTTTCTCTTTACACAGTAGATATTTTTTAATCTCACTAAAATATTGGACTTGCCTAATATTGGTATGTTGCTCTGTATAACATCAAGAATTTCATTCTAATTATAATACACTCTCAAATGCTCTAAGGATAAATACTGAGGCCTTAATCTTCTTACTGAGATGTGTACCACTATGTAGAAATGATCAAAAGTTCTCTTTTACTTCATTTACATTGTGTGTGTGTGTGTGTGTGTGTGTGTGTGTAATGAGATTTGAGGTGTTTGAGGAATCTGGTAGTAAAGATTTGTGTTAATTTACATTAGTTCTTATAGATGATTATTTACAATTATGTAAATTATTTAAATTCTTTGAGGTGAAGATATACACTCTTACAGCAATTTTCTGGCACGGGAATGACCAGGCAGCACTCTCGGAGTGGTTGAAAGAGGATTTTAGCAGCAACCCAGCCAAACTCACGTTCTAAAGATCTGGGTCCTGAGTAAGGAGTGAGAACAGATTATAAAGGTCTTGGACCAGGAGCCCAGAAGTGGTTACAGAAACAGAAGGAAGGGTTATCTGTGTACAGACATGGCAGTTCATTTGTTGCTGGCGGGAACTTGGCAGTGGGAGGAATTTTGAACATAGGGGATACTCTATGCAAGAGCAGCTAGACCAGGAACTTCTAGATTTCCTTCGCCGATACCATAGGCCTTCAAAGAGTTCCTAGGAAAATAGAATTAAGGCTTTCTCATACTTGTCAGAATGACATGTATCAAGGCGAAAGGGAAGCCATTATGAAAGTTATCCAGAAGTTGACACCAAACTAGTGCTGAATGGGTGGGGCAATATGGAAAACATTATACCAATTAAAGAAAGACATGGCCAGATTCCAGAGCCACACAATAAGTGCAATCTTGCACAGCAAAAAGCAAACCCCAAAATCCTTTTTCACTCCATTAGTTACATATTGTAGAATTTCCCTGCAGTGAATTGTACGCAAGTCTGTTTCTCAACTGGAGTCTAAGCTCCTTAGGTCTTGGGATTTTTAACTTCATCTTTTCTTCCTGACACCTTAGAACAGGTACTCAATAAATATTGGTTAAGAAGAATACAAATGTGCCACTATACACAAGTAAAAATAATATCATGAAAAGGGATACTTAAGATTCAGAAATGAATTTTGAAACAGAAGGGTGGAGCCTTCTAAATCTAACCCTCTAATTCAAATGTCCTGTGAATGAATGGGCAATTCTCTGGCGAATAATTGAAGGCTTCTTTAGCCTCACCACCAATAATCTGAGATTATAAATTTTCCAGTTCTCCATTTAAAAATATTTGAATAAATTGAGGCATAAGGTATAAAATAGTAAGAAGTAGAACCATCCATTTGAGTAATTCAGAAATTTTTCATTAAAGTAAGGCTAATAGTCCCTGGATGGTAGGAATGATTTGTTTTGTATTTGGCTGCTAAGTGATACCTTTACTGATTCAAATCCACTTAGTGGTGCTACAGAAGGAAGGTATAGAGCTCTACTAAATCTGCTTCTGAAAGACCACAGCTATTGAAAACAATATTAACATACATGCGGACACCATGAGTTGAAATTGACTCAATGGTAATGGGTTTTAAAAGGGGGCTAATATTGGAATGGGATCTTTATAGATTATTCCTTTAATTCTGAATCTGTAGTGGAAATTTTTAAGTTGTTTTTCCTTTTAAATATCCGCCATTTAATGAAAATTTTGTAAAACAGCTAAAATGTGATATGTAAGACTTACACATCCAGGCTTTACTACAGTTCAGAGTTACTTTTAATTAAAAGTCAAAATGAAACATCCACTAGAAATTCAGCATGATGTTTGAGTGTAACTAACAAAACCTTTTTCTTTGTTTTTAATTCTCAGTATTAAAAGAAAGTTACATAACGACTGGGTTATGAAAATCAGATATATTCCAGCTCTAAGTTGCTTTGGATCCTGCTCCTTAGATACTATTCATTCATTAGTTTTGGATTCCTTGAAGAGACTTGAGGATAATTTGTAAGTACAAAAATTTACTTATGCACTGTGTTAGTCTGGGTTAGCTAGAGAAACAAATCCAGAGACATTTATATATGTGTAAGAGAGAGTTTTTCAAAGAGTAATTGTATATTAAAAAACATTCCGGCCCAATCCAGATCAAATATGTAAGCCCAATATTAGCCCATATGTCCGATACCAGTTTATAAATTCTTCAGGCTCACGCAACACATGTAATGATGCTGAATGCAAGAAGATCACAGGCCTGTGGTGGAAAGTCTTGTGGATCCAGTGGCAGTGGAAGCTTCTAAGTGCTGGCGTGAGTCTGCACATGGCTCCTCCAGCTCTAGGGCTCTGGCTGGGGTCAGAGTGGCTCCATGTATCTTGTCAGCAGGAAGATGAAACAGAGAGATTGTGTGTCTTGCCTCTAGAGAGGAAGACAGGAGTTCCCAGCATCCTCAGGAGAAGGCCATGCCCACACAGAGGCCTCAGTGCTATGACCTGAGTGACAGGCTGGACTCCACCCCTTCACAAGTTGACAGGAGATTATGTAACTGCCACATATACATCATGAGCATTCTGTGACTTTGAGATGTTTCAGCCCATGGCAGCCTGAGAGTGTTTTTTCAAACTAGGTTTTAGGAAAATCAGGTGTTAATAACTATTCCATTTATTGTTGTAGGTGCCGTTGAGTTGGTTCCAACTCATAGTGACCCTATGCACAAAAGAAAAAACACTGCCTGGTCTGTGCCATCCTCACAATGTCCTATGCTTGAGCCCATTGTTCAGCCACTGGGTCCACCCCTCTCCTTGAGGGCCTTCCTCTTTTTCACTACCCCTCTCCTTTACCAAGCATGGTAGCCTTCTTCAAGGACTAGTCTCTCTCGATAACATGTCCAAGTACGTAAAATGAAATCTCAGCGCACTCTGGCCATACTTCTACCAAGAGAGATAAGTTTGTCCTTTCAGCAGCCCATGATATTTTCTTTTTCTTTTTCTTTTTTCTTTCAATATTCTTCGCCAGACCGCAATTCAAATGCACCTATTTTTCTTTGGTCTTCCTTATTTAATGTCCAACTTGCACATGCATATGAGACTATTGAAAATGCTGTGGCTTGGATCAGGTGCACCTTAGCCTTCAAAGTAACCTTGCTTTACAACACACTAAAGGGAACCTGTGCAGCAGATTTGCCTAATACTGTGTGCCTTTTGTCTTTTGACTGTTGCTTCCATGAGCGTTGCTTGTGCCTCCAAACAAAACAAAATCCTTGACAATTTTAATCTTTCATGCATTTATCCTGATGTTACCTATTAGTCTAGGTCGTGAGGATTTGGGTCTTCTTTACATGGAGTTTCAATCCATACTTAAGGTCCTTGACCTTCATCAGCAAGTACCTCATGTCCTCTTCACTTTCATCAAGAAAGTTGTGACATCTGCATATCACAGATTGTGAATAAGCCTTGCAGCCCTTCTGATGTATATTATCCAGTTTTTCTGATCATTTGTTCAGCATACAGATTGAAAAAAATATGGTGAGAGGATACAATGCCAAAGAACATCTTTCTAGATTTTAAACCACTCCGTGTTCTCTTGTTCAAGTTCTACATAAGCACAATGAGTTATTCTGGAATACCCATTCATAATAACCCATTATGTAT